CAACAAAGTGTTAGAAATGTTTCTCAGTGGTTTTGGTTCATATTAACATAGTTGCTGCAGTTTGTTGGCTGCACATCCATGTCAATCCAGTCCTGTTCCAACACATCCGTGGGGTGATCAACTGGATTGAGATCTGGTGAGCGCGGAGGCTATTGGAGCACAGAGAACTCAACGTCATCTTCAGAAAAAGCAGCTTGAGATCGTCTGAGATTGCTTCTAGAAGCATCCACCAGAAGATGGGTGACACTGTAGTGATAAAGGCGTGGATATGTTCAGCAAAATTACTTAGGAATTCAATTGATGATCATCTGGTACTAAGGAGTCCAAGATGTGCCAAGAAAACATCCATAACTGTTTTTCCAGTCAGTTATCTAATTTTATTGAACCAGAGTGAATTGTAGCCTCGGTTTCCTGTTTGTTGCTGAAAAGAGTAGCACCAAGTTCCATCTTCTTCAATTATTCTGACACACTGGCTGTAATAAGAAATTACCTGAGGTACTGTTATCTTTCCATTTAACCAGTGTGACCATTCTCCCCTGACCTCGAATATTAAAAAAAAAGGCATTTTTGTCCACTCAGCAACCGCTCTCAAGATGTGCATAGAATGTTCCGTTTTTTTTCTGAAAAACAGAACATTCTATGCAAACCCAAGAGTCCTACCATGTAGGACAGTAGAAAGGCAGTTTCTAAAACACTCAGACCAGCCTGTCTGGCACAAACAACCACAAGACATTCACTAAGTCGTTTAACTGATTCATTTTTTTTTTTTTTTTTTTTACCATTCTGATGCTAAGTTTAAATTCAACAACTCATTTAGGAGGACCTAATAAAGTGTTTGGTGAGTATACATTGCATGGCTCAGTATGCCCATGCTATAACAGAGCAATCCCTTCTTTCCGTCCACCTGGCCCTGAAATCCAGTGGCATATTGGCAATTAGCAACCAAGGTGCTACTTCTCCCACACAGGGATAATTACTGACCTGTGGCTTTCATTTAGAAAGAGAAAGCAGACAGAGGACATTGGAAGACTCAGCCATTCATTTGTCTTAATTAATTAGTCTTCCTCCACCAGGGCTCCTGGTGAGGCCGACTACTCTAAAAAAGTCCTGAGAACCAGCCGCTTCAACGGTTGTAGCCTGTGAACAGCCTGGAAGCTCTGCCCGATGTTCAGGGGCAACCGTGAGCAGCAGAAGCTACTCTTGCAGTCGTGTTTGTGGTGACAGGACCTCCTTTGCAAACAGCACGACTGGACAATGGGAGAGCTGGAGAAGAATGGGTTAAAGTAGACAGAGGGACCAGGTTTGGAGAGGTTAGTGGTGTGATTCATTTTTATTACCACGCAGCCCCTGCAGGCGGCAGGAGTGGCAAATTATTTCTGAAACAAAGTGGAGGGCTCTCATCAGAGCTATTACCCGCCTGTGGCCGAAGGCGGCACAGAGCCCACAGAGGGTGACAGTGAGAGGCCCCCCATCAATGAGGGATAGCCGTCCACATCCGTCCACGCTCCAGGATATCCCCCTCCCCAAATGAGAACTGGTGTCTGTGCTTCTGTGCGTGCGTTTCGTTGTGTGCAAGAGGAAGATAAAGGTAAAGCTAACTGTTGGACCACTCCCATGATATCCATCAAAAATAATCTCCAGTATTGTTTTTGTCACAAACCTGCCAAGCAATTAGAGGTGACGTGCAAAACACAATGACTTGTGGGTACTAATTAAAGGAACAGCTCCCATGTAATATGCTGACTGCAGAGATGAGCAATGACAGAAAGTACTAACAAGTTCATCATTCCAGATTCAGCTGAAGCATAGCCAGATGAAACCTTCTTCTGAAATGACCCTACCTTGCATTGCGCTAAAAATAAAACTAATCAGTAAGTAAATGTTAATTTATTAATTAAGGAATTTGGATTGTCTGGTTATAATAATAATAATAATAATAATAATAATAATAATAATAATAATAATAATAATAATAATAATAATAATAATAATACAGTAAAATAAAAATAAGAAAACAGCATTTTTTCTTACAAGTGAAGTAAGCAGTGTAACTGTTTTGAGAATAATCTAATTGCTTTCAGCATGAGAGTTAATTTGGTGGAGTAAGTGTAAACTATCAGCTCAGAAAAATATGTTGAGCGTTTTAAAAAAAAAAAAAAAACCTGATAACCTGACTCCTATAAAGTTGACTCACTTCAATATAACAAGAAGCCTCACCCACATTTAAGTACCTTTGGATGGCAGCATTTTTGGTATCCAGCTGAAAAAAAAAAAAAGCTAACAATAGACACTCGTAGAGTTTATTGCTTAATCCAAACCATGTAAATACAATTTATTAAAACAGGTGGTCAGTTCACACATGCAAATATTTTTCAAACCACTTTCACATCGTGAAGCATGCAGTCATCCTAATGTTCAACTATAATTCAGCAGCTGTGCTGATTTGCGTATAACAAATTTACATACCGAGATCCTAAGATCTTGAATATCATAAGCCAAACCAATCTTGTGGATGAGCGCCTTTAAGTTAAATCTCAAAAATGCAAGAGGCAAAACTAGTCTTGCAGGAGACATTCAATCAGACACCAAGTTGATATTCAGGTAGTTACTGAATCGTTTAGATTAGGTGTCACTAATGTTTAGTCAGAGTCAGTAGCCATACAAAGCCTGCCTATGTGTCAAGACAAAGCTGCTATGTGTCACCAGTTTGACACAATTAAAATCCTCACTTTTATGGTGAACTGCATTTAAAAGAAAAAAAAAAAGCACAAGAAGGGGGGAAAAAAAATCAATCAGCTGGAATTTATTCATCCTACTTGATATATACCTGATTTTATAAAGGAGAGAACCATCAACATCTCACCAACCAGTGGCAATGTAAGATATTTAAAATTATATTCTTGGTCTAAAGATTAGTTATCCAGCAAATGAGATTTATTGTTTGACAGCAAAAGCTAATGGAGATGTTGCTGCGGGACAGGATTGGATTTTTTTTTAGACAGTGAAGAACCTTCCTGCCTGCGGTGACGTGGGACTGACAGTGGTAGGGAGAGGAATCAACATCAATAATCTTTCATCAAGTCCACAGTGCAGCACTTCAACACAGAAAGGACTCAATAAACAACTGTAGGCCATCGTTCAGGTCTGAACTGGCCAGAGAGTGGAGGATAAATTCGAGCGGTTTGCAAGCAGCGGATAAATAAAACATCACTTCAAGTGAAGCGTTTTTGTATCTACAAATGGCCGAGATGTCACCATAAAAAGTCTCATGATTTAAGATATAACACACTCCTTGATATTTCAGTCTTATGTGGAACATTTCTGCAACAACGCATAAGCCTGCAGCTCAAAGAAAGTGCATCAAACTGCATGCTCTCAACTTATGTAAATATAGATAGAAATATCTTTGTTTTGATGCATTTAATAAATGCAGAAGAGAAATTAAGGCTGAGGTGATAACCTCTAAGCCAAATTTTTCATGCTCTTTTTATTTTATTTTCCATTATTAAAATGACCCACCATCTCCCGTAAGTTTTAGCATCATAGTCAGTAAAAATTTACACATGAGATTATTAGAGACCATTCAACATGCCAAATATATTGTTGGCATTAAGACTCTGATTGCATACAATTTGAAATATCCGATCTGACATTATGAAAAGTGATGTCACCGCATGCTAAGCAGATGATGAAATTACTACTTTCATAAACTTTGGTCACACATTTTTTTTTCTCATTTATGTCTCTCCACCTCTCATTACTTTAGTGCTGCAACATTTTTGAAATCTTGTCAAATTAAAATATTTTCTAAAAATCGTAAATCTGTAAATAAATGATGCTGATTATCTTGTGGTAGATCCTGATTTCTAGTCAACTGATGGGCACATCTCTAGTGTCAGCTAGAAACAAAAAGCAAGAATATAAAAAAGGAAAAAAAAAAAAACAGCTTGATTGATGCAACGTCAAATCCAAATACTGATAATCTTGCTCATAGGCAAACCTAATGGTATACAAACAAATTAAATTGTTAAAAAATATATATTACCTCTTCCTGTAGCTGTACTTGCACAATTGCGAGCATTAGCATAAAAAACCCCCAAAAAACCTTTTTCTGCTTTTCTCTTCTCTTAAAGTTACGAAGCTCAACTGCCATCAGCTAGACCCTGTAGACAATCTTTGTTGCGACAGACAGAGTGATGACCCAGGTCTGTGTGATGGATATGTGACATTGTGGTTTGGGACCTGGGGGCCTGGCTGTTGGGGTGGGGTTTAGCCATCATGGTGTGCTTAATTACCTGCACCGCCACACAACAGACCATTAGTCAGACTGGGACGATGGGTCTCAACAGTCAACAAGAGATAACAATCCTCTTACCAGACTGTTTTCTGGGTACCTTAGAGGAACGGAAACTGTGGGCAGAAATATATGCAGAAGCAGAAAAACCTTTGGTTAAGATGCAAGAATAAAAGGAAATGTCTTTGCCAATTATGATGAGAAATCTCAATGCTCTTGCAAACAAACGTGTTGTTTGTTCACCGGTACGCATATTTTTAAAATCTTCCCATGATAAGAACTCTTTTGTCAAGCCACAACACTGACTTTCATCAGGCAACTGCAAAACAGTGTCAAACATACCACTGCATTTCATGGAGTTTTATTTTCAAGCTGCAAAAATGAACAGAGAAAAAATATATTAGATTTATAAAAAGAGAGCAGTAGGTACGGTGAAGGATACAATCTCTGACATAACAGACATTGTGATCAGTGTCTATGAAAAGAACGAGCTCAAGACATAAAATAATGTGTTTTTGACTCAGTGGGCTGACATTTATGGCCCCCTGGTGATTCTTATGGAGCATTTGGTGGTGTGAACTGCCTCCGCTGAAATGTGGGTAGCTAATAAATGGCGGCTAATGGAGAGAAGACTCTCATGCCTTCTCCTCCTCTAATCTCTGCACGCTTCATTAAGCATCACCTTTATTTGCAGAATCGTGCTAACCTGGTGCTGTCGTTCCCTGGCTTTGTGTATCCCTCCAAACAGCCCTCCCATACGCTGTTGGCCATCGCGTTGCCGATTGCTGTCATCACCATGCTCAGCTCCACCGGCCAGTCGTCCAGGTCCAGAGAGCGCACGCGGGACAGGTGGGTGCCCAGGTTCCTATGCATGCCCGAGCACTCAATGCACATCAAGGCGCCCAGGTTCAAACTGGCCCAATCCGGGTCTACAGGATAGAAAAATCAGGAATCATTAAGAACAGGTCAGAAAGAGCTAGCATTTTTACTTGAAAGTAAAAATTTATTTTTTATTTTTTAGATTTGATCAAACATTAGTTCATGAGTTGTGACCCTGTTTCTTAAGAATAAAAGGAAACCCCATCATTCTGCACAGACATTTGCTGTAAAACATTCAATTTAGTCAGATTTCACTCAAGTTCCTCCAGAAGATGAAATGAGAAATGGTACCAATATTAAACTATGCTGTATAATTATCCTAATGTCAGTAGGTTGTGTTAATGACTTTAGTTCATAGTATTAAGCCAAGACTGGATTTGCAAAAGTAACCCAAGTTAGACTGTTTTATATCCAACATGTTTTTCCCCCATTGATCACTGCCTTCTTTCAGTTAAGCTGTGAAATAAATAAATCTTGCAAAATGAAAAGGCACATTTTTTAATATGTAAGATAATGCCATTAATGGTACATTCCCTTTTAGGGGAAACTGTAAAGGATCTTCCTAGCAGCCAGCTTTGCACAGGTAAAGGTCAGAACAGTAAAAATAAAAATATTTTTTTAAAAATGACATGTTTAAGCAAAAACATCAGAAGAGACACATCCTCTAAGTGAATCTTTAAAAGCTATATTGTTGACCAATATGACTGGAAATTGCTGAATTCGGCTTAAATTTAGCCAAGTGGGTAAATATAAATTCTAATGACGGACTTAGCTGAATGTGTTAGATACCTTCTTTCCTTTTAAAACCTCAGTTACAAGATTTTTTGTATATTTACTATTTACTTTACAATCAAAAACCTAAACTGAAACAAAAATGTTTTTTTTTTTTTTTTTTTTTAGGTTTTTACAGCACAACTTGATACAGATTTGTTATAGCTAAAGCACATATAGCTTCTAGGAAAAAGTAAGCAAATTGTTTTGATTCCTTATTTTGACTAGTCATATTAATCTAGAATGTTATGTAATCTTGAATCTTCTTTGTAATATCCATGTATTGTAGATATGCAGGGATATACTCACTGGGTGCATCACAGTCCACACAGAAGCTGTTCCCCCTCACGTTCCGTATGGACTGAATGGCCATTGCATCACTTTGGCTGCCTAACCGAGACTGTGAGAAATTAAGGAGAAAATAAGTCAACAGGAACTAATTGTTCCAGTGTGGGGGAACAGAAGGCAAACAATTACAGCTGGACTCAGGTTGTGGACAACTGACAAGGAGGTGATAGGAACTTCAGTGGCTCGGGTGAAAAGTGAAACAGAGAGAATATGAATATGTTAATGAGGCTGTGTTTCCCCATGTAGCCCGACACTAGCTGTGTTCTCCCTCTGATGTCTGTCAGTTTTAATAAGAGACTCCCCACACTGCGGCACACCTGTCTGACTACCTCCCACGTGCCGTAGCTTCAAGCTGGTGAGGTGGGGAAGGGGCACCGTAAGGTCGGAGGATGAGGAAAAAAGAGGAATGTAAATGAGGCAGAAGAATAGTTGGACGACAGCAGTTAGATCCTATACGTGTCTTCTTATTGCTCCTTATGTTTCCTGACCTACTGTACCTTGTTCTTGATGCTCTCACAGGACTGTAGGCTGGCAAAGATCTGGCTCTCTATTGCTTGCACCCACAGCTCCCTCTCCTCATATGTAGACGCTTCGAAGTTCCACGTCTGGCCCGTTAATGACACAATGATGAACTCAAAGGAATCTTCTTGCTCTGAAAATAAAAAGTACGATAGCTTAACATAACGTAAAAAAACTAAGATAGTGTTGTTTATGTTTCATCTGAACATATTTCTGAAACGGTACATTTAGGCTCTGAAATAGACAATCACCACCTGGCACCCCACTGATTGTTCACATTGGAAGACGGAGAAATATGCATTTCATTCCATTATGAAACTGACGCTCCAAATCATCTCCGAATGTCAAGGGTTTAGAAACTTTAATGAATGTTTAAGGCTAATACGGTTTTCCATTGTCTACACCCGCCTGGCCTTTCAGGGTCACAAGAGGGGAGGGGTAACAGGTGTTGGTGTTTGTCTTCAGCAGTTATTGGATGAGATGAGAAGTTATTGGATGAGTTGTCAGTTCAACACACGGTAACACAGAGAAACAATCATATCCAACGGCAATTTAGAGTTATCTCTTATCCTAACAGTTATGTTTTTGGACTGTTTAGACTGTGGGATGACGCCAGAGAACCCATGTAGGACCCACACATGTATGGGGAGAACATGCAAATTCCCAGTACCTCCTTGCTGCCAGGCAACTGTTCTACCAAGACAATGCCAGAAAAATGCCTTCCAAGCAGGGCTATTTATTGATGAAATGCTCTGAAACATTTTGCTGTTGACTTGTGTAGCTTGGTAACTGAGCACAAAAATTCAAAAATCTCCCAAGTTTTCAGACTTTTTGCTAAAATGCCCTCTAATGGTGACGGAGACAAATTTAAGATCTGAGCTCTGACGTCTAAGACAAATCAAATGCAGCATTGATTCATTACCCATTTTAGTTCTTGTAAACACTTCAGTCACTGCATTTAAGGCGCTATTTTATCAGATGTTTTAGTTCTTCCTGTTTTATCCAGAATAAAAAGGGTTGCTTATATGTTTTGAATATACATAAAAACACTGGTGCTCAGTTGAACTTTAAACACATGAAAAATATGTGAGATAAAAATGTTCCACTACTAGAGACAAATCATTTGACCACTGTCAAAAAGGTTGTGGTTAAGTACCGGGGAGTTTTGGCTTCCAACAACATCAGAAAATGTCCTGGATTATGCTATAACATGATTTGATGGACTGTGAGAAAGTGTGCATGAATGGGTGAATAGGACAGGTTTGTAGAGCGTTAAAAAACTTGGTCCTCATTTATAAAAAATGCACAAAATGGGACCGTGTTTAATTTTCAAACAAATCTGGGGAGTTATGTCTCCAAACCCAAAACAGTGTGGAATGGGGATGTGTGGATCTGAACATAAGCAATAAGGCCTGAGAAAGTGGGTGACATTTTTTTGCACAGTATTGCACTGGACAGTGCAACTAAATTTGGTTCTCTGCTACCAGATTACTTGCTAGGTGAACCTGATTGCTCACAGGCTCGGTTTGGTTCACTTAAACACAGTTCGCTTTTTCTGCAAAGATTTTTATGTCCAAACTGAGGTTCTAATTAACTATTAACTATAGATGTCCCCAAATCTTTTGGACTTTACTTTTTCTTTCCTCATTGTATTCTTCAATTCATTCTTTTAAATAGACTTCAACCCCTGGTTCCTTTCTGTGTGACTAGAATTTATGAAAATGTCACCTGATGTTTTCTGTGAGGAGTTCTGACACAACATATGTTCCAACACATGCTGTTCAGCAGCAATTCATTAACTCCGTACAGTACAATGTGACTTGTGTAACGTCTCTGGTCTCTGCACATGCTTGAGCTCATTGCCAAATGATTTGTAATTACCTAATTATGTCTATGCAAATAGTATTCTCGTTTGCATAAACCACGTTTGGAGGACTGGAGGCAAACGCACACAAGAGGTACATGTTTTCCACTGCAGCTTTTATCCACTTTGTCAACATCGCGTTTCTGTTGATTTGCTTCCTGAATGCTTCGTTTTTAACAGTCAAACTGTCGACTGAACTAATTATTAAAATTACATAAAAACTTGCAGTACTGCATATCACTCTAAATTTTCTGACATTAAATTAGCAGTGCATGACTAATAAAACGTCTGCAATAACACGATGTTGTGGTGTTAGACAAATCATCCGACTGAAGATATTATATTTACAATCAATTTACACTCCTTGCTGTGTGACACAGTCCTTTGCTGCTTAATGACAGATGTGCGATGGATGCCACTAATGTTGCAATCTCTGTGCTGCAGCAGAGGGGTCATTTCTTCAGGACTAAAGCAATAATGCAATTAGCTTGACACCGACTTCAATTATCTGATTTAGTTTGTGGTATCGACTCCAGGTCACAGAGAATCAATAAAGACTTGAAGCCTCTTTATTTAGACTTACAGCACAAAAAAGTACGTGTGAGCATCTGTTTGTGTGTGTGTGTGTGTGATATTTTGAAATACTGATCATAGCAGAAGGATTCCACAGAAAAAAGGGGTTAACTTTAGGCATTTCAAAGGCAGAACAAATAGAGCAGCAGGGAACAACACAATGGCAAAAAAAAATAAATAAATAAAATAAGAAAGATTAATTGTGATACACATAATCGAATTACATTTTTTTCTTCTCTAATATACCTTCAGGTACAATAACTAATGCGTTTGATTAGAATTTGTGATTCCGAATGTTGTTGTACTTGTGCTCTCATTGCTGTGAAAACCTGAACAAAGCTAATTATTCTGTTGGCTGACCAGGCAATAAATTGGAGGCATTAACACACTTTCATTATGGAGATTAAAAAAGCGACGGATGGCTGGTTTCTTAAACTGATGCGTACACAAAGGATTGCAAATCTAGTGCTCTATGTATAATGATGTACACTAGAAACGTGAAAGATACAGGATCAGATGTGACTAAACATGGGCAGGTGCCTGCTGTGAAGGTACATTTTGGTTTAAAAATCTAAATTTTCATATGGTCTTACTGTGTGAAATATTTTAAATCAAAAGTCAGTGAGAGCTCACCCCAGAGTTATCTACCAGAACAGAGTAACCCTGTCAAACTGTTGCTGTGTACTGTCCATCAGCTGGCTGAAAGAAAGGAATTCCTCAAAATGTTTCTGCTTGTTAAAAATAAAGACAAATTGTTGGTGAATACTTCCAGTCATGAAGTATTCAGCTTTATGACTGTAACTATGTATTTCAACAGATCAAACAGATTTTAAAGATGCAAAAAGGAGCAACCCTCAATAGTATTTTTAAGATGTGCAGTTCAGAATCATAATCAGCCATCAAACACAAAGAATTGAACTGTAAAATTCGCAACCAGGGTCCAGCTAATCAACTAACTAAGCTCTGAAATCTCAAACTGAATGCTCTGGGAAATATGAACGACTAAATTTAACTGGTCAAAATTATGTTTTGATTTTGCACCACTGGGTTTTTAACCATCAATGTAACATCATTTTTCAGCACTGATGATTCACAGGCTGACACTACTTTTTTCAGCTCATAGATGTTTGATCACTTAGGGACATTCGCATTACATAGTGCTTTCAACTTTCAGCCCAAGATGGTCAGGAATGTTTTATGTCTGAAGAAAAAAAAAAATAGTAACATGGCTTATCATACATAATGCACATACATACGTCAGAGGCAACAGGACAGGATCTGAATGTCAAAGCTCTGAATCCTCTCACTCTTCACTTGAGTGTCAGTGTTTCAAAATCAATGTAGTTGTGAATGATGATTATCAGCAGTGCTGATCTTAGTCATTTGTTTTCTTTAAATAAAATCAGTCATATCAAATTATGCATTTCTATACTTGTTATCCACTCCTATGTGTTTATTTCATTTTTTTAAAGGCACAAAACAGAAAAACTTGTGGTACGTTTGTTGAAGATAATTAGAATCCCATATGGATCAATGTGGATTGCTTTTATCAGCCTATTTAGCAATAAACACACAAAGAAAACTACAGAATCCTAATCCGCAGAATTTTAGCAAACAATCTTCTTCCCAACAAGCAGACTTAGCACGAATAACCTGTCAAAGTTACTGCGCCAGGAAAATTGTCTGATGGTACTTCTGCCATCACTGTTGTTGCAGTTAGCATGAGCATAGCCATTGAACAATCAACTTGTCACATTAACCTAAACATTAACCTGCTGACCACATCTACATCATCCAGTGATCAACAAGTTCTTGCCAATTAGCAATAAATTAGCCCTGTCCTGTCAGTGGGGGGATATGTAGGAACATGTTTTAAAGTCAGTAGAAGTTCAGGGTGAAGAATGAAAAAAATATACAATTTTCCTCAATTAACCTGGCATTAAGATTAAAATTACAGCATAATGGCAACGTTGTTCCAAAGGGGAGAGGAGCAGGTTCTGATACACATTTCTGTCCAACCATCACATGGATCAGAAATTTTTTTCCACCATCTCCTCTAAGTATAATGTTCATCTTCTCCTTTATTGCTTGTTGGCGTAAAACAACCGCATTGTAACAGGCAAATTATATTTTAAGACACAGAAGGGCTTTGGCTACCATTATATATTTGTAGTTCGATAAAGCGTGTCGAATTGAGTAGTTAAAAACAAACTTTGTCACACAATATGTATTTCTAGCGTATAATATTTATTTACCATTTTTATCTCTGACAAATTTCAAAGAAATACGGATTTTGCTACCTACTGTATTTATCTTAAATGCTCCTTTGGTATGCTTGTTCAAGATAATTAGACTCTTAACTAATTA